CAAGAAGCAGTGCAGGCAGGACATGTTAGGCTTGATTCGGTTGTAAAAGGTTCTCTTGGTATGACAGTTGACAGTTTGCCGGACACAATTGACCTGATATCTGATGATAGTACGGAGATCGATGGCAGTGGTGAAACGTCTGACATCTGTGCTAGGAACGATGAAATATCGGAAGCCGTTTATCATTTAGAAAAGGATTCAAACAAGCACCAACGACATTTGACCAGGCAAAAAAATGGTTTTAATATGTTCTTGTCCGGCTACCTTAACGATGCGAGTGAAGAGACCTGGGGCCAGCCGAGTTTCTTAGTTAACAACGGACACTGGTCATCAAACGACTTTCCGTCAAACTCTGACAATAGCTATTTGCGTGATGATATCACGTTTACTGATTCAAATTCGAATATACACCGACTTCACGAAAAGCGTTCACGATTGTCAGAGTCCCTTCCGGTGTCAGAATCTTGGAGAGACAATTTTGAGGGGCGTGGTCCTAATATTTGCAGTCCATATCAGCGGTCAGCAACTACTTCATCAGCTCCATTTGAGAGGGCTTACTCCCAGAACTTACCAGGAGCCCGTGGGGGAAACACGGCGCTGGAAAGTTTCGGCAATCAAGGTACTATTTCGCTTTATATTTTATCCATATTTTGCCTAGAAGACACTCTTAGCCTTCTGGCCCAGAGCGGTTGTGTGAAACTAGATGATTCCGCAATGTTCGCAGTAAGTACAGTTCTTTCGAGTTCTCTTTTGCGACGGACTTGCTGATTTATGCTCATTTTTCATAAGAGTTCAATATGTCGTCCTCCGGAAATGCAAGAGTGCTAGCTGCATTGTGGTTTACAGTTACTTACCATGACGAGGTCCTTATCTGACCCTAATTACTTGTCCACGAAATGCGAAACCACTGTTCCGAATTTTTTATTCCCTTTTATATGAGAGCCTACCTTTACTTAGCCTGTCAATCCATGCAAAATGTGACACACCAGACGTGACCGTTTACTGAGAGATTCTGATCGTTGACAGACGGTGAGTAGATATTATTGCTATGCAAAAGCCTGCCCGTTGGCTCTGCCCATAATAAATCGTCACCGATTTTGCCAACCATAAAAATCATATGTTTTAGGCTCCCTTATTTAAAATCTTTTAGGGTTCCCGCTGTCGCAGAGTACGGACGGTACTCGAAGTGAGACTAGTGTTTTCGCACTTTTATTTCATTTACTTTTGACCATCTCCAAAGTAATAGACGGTTCAACCAAACGTACGGTGACAGCTGAAATACCATGAGCTTTTGATAGGCCTGACTTAGTTTACTGCGATTTTAGAGAATTATGCTTGTGAAAGCACGCATCATGAGTTTTCCAAAGAATCCTGCTGGAATTCACCTCTTCACTATTTGCAGGCAGTCAGAGACAGGCTCCCAAACGATTTGTACTCAAGGCCGCGAGCGGATAACACTAAAACCAGAAACGCACTTATAATCGGCTTTTCCGAAATTCGCCCTTGTCTCTAGCTGGCCAGCCTGATTTTATCTCCGACAAAATTGTATCCTGGACGTCTTACCTTCACATATGCGCTGCACGAAAGTTAGCCATCTCGATCTACCAGTACAAAAAGCACCGTTAACCTGTTCCGTTCCTGGCAGACTATAGTTATTAGCTGCAGACACGACAGCAGAACCCAGCTCG